ATGGTGAACATTAAAAAGTAAATTTTATTAGATAATGAGTGAAATTTATGTTAAAGTTCAATAAACTTTAACATAAATTGATTGTCTCATTTAATGAGATTTATTTACTGAACTTTACATGCCTTAATTAGAGACCAAGCTTGAAGAACAACTCGGAAACAAATAATTGCCTCAAATTTTCTTCCTAAGAGATTAATTAAAATAGCTTATTTATAGTAAAGAGCTTCTATCCTTCAATTTTGTATATGTCAGAGAAAAGAAAAATTAGCATTTAAAAGTATTGCCTGTTAATTTGATGGGGGGAAAAAAGAACTTTAAGACTTCATAAATAATTGTGTACACATGCACACACACACACACACTTTATTATTTATTTATTTAGCTAGCTAGCTAACTGCTAAATAAAAAATGTTTATTTATTTATTTAGGGATTATTTATTGCAATGTAGAAATTAATAGCTAGCTAGTTAGCAATCAGATTTCTACACTGCCATTTTTATATAAGTGACTCTGGGCAATTTGTAATAAAACATATAGCAATATTAAAAAGCATAATTAACAATAGATAAAAGTAGAATTAAGAACAAAGTTAAAATTAAAATGGTAAGAATGTAAAATAGGCAGAGAAAGTGTCACTCCCAGAGTTCTTTATTACTCAAAGGGATTGGACAAAATCCAAAATAGATGGGTCTAATGATGGCTTCTTAAGAAGAAGGTGCACTGGTGCCTCTTTAAATTGTTCCAGGAACATATATATCTCAAGGGTAAATTAATTTTTACCATGACCCACCTAAATATCTCTAATACTGTCCTTGACCAACCAGGAGAGCCATGTATCTAAATCACAGGTGGCCATGCTTACAGCAACGAGGATCCTTTCTACTTCCTTGGGTCCAAAAGGATATTCCCAGATAACTGGTTAAGTCCATTCCAGTCATGATAGATCAAGAGAGGGTAAGATGGCCAGAGGACTTGCTCATCCATTGATCCATTTATCACTAGCAGAGATTCCAGAGGTCCCAGAAGACTAAATAAGATTAATAGGACACTCCCAGGCCAGGCATGGGCAAACTTTGGGAACCCCACCCCCCATCATTCAACTACTGCAATCATCTTTAAGAGCATATGTCATACATCTCCTTCAATCTATCAATGTCCAATACAATGGTAATTAGAACAGAGATATTTTACAGGGATGATCATGGACTAAGTGAATTGAACTCCACTATATAAATAGGATTAGCTGTGGTGTATAAAAACCAGCAAGGTATCTGAAAGACGTAAACTGCCAGACACAAGAAATTAGGAACCTAACTATAAAATATAACCATGGAAGAGAAAAAAAATGATTACAATTAATATAAATGGACTTAACTCAGCCGTTAAAAGAAGGAAAACCTTTGATAAATTGGAGAAATTAAAATTTGATATAATCTTTCTACAAGAAGTACATATTAAAAAACAATATGAACAATTGTTGGTACAGCCAAAATTAGGGAAAATATTTACTTCCTTGACCCAATGTAAGAAAAGAGGAGTGGTTTTATATATCAAGAGACCACCCCAGCAAAATTGATCTATACTGATGATGATGGAAGAATACTAATGGTGGAAATAATGGACAATAATATGAAAACACTCCTGATTGCAGTATATGCTCTGAATGACAAAGAAGAAGAATTCTACAAAAAACTACATATGAAAATAATTGAACTGGACTATGCTAATATAGTTATGATGGGAGATTTTAATGGAATTGTAGACAACAAATTGGACTATACAGCACAAAAAACAACAAAGCAAAACAGAAAGACTCTCCCTAAATCTTTTTTTTAAATGGTAGATGAAATAAACTTAAAAGATACATGGAGAGAAAGAAATGCTAAAACTAAACAATATACCTTCTATTCAAATAGACACGTATCATGGTCCAGAATAGATATGATATGGATGTCAACAGAATTAATACCTAACATTAATACCTAACATTCAAGAAATAAATATTGAAACAAGTACTTGGGCAGATCACAATCCAATGACAATTAAATGGAAAGGACAAAAAAGAAGATCTAGATGGACATTAAATAATACTATTTTAAAAGAAAAAGACTTCACACAGTGGATGGAGAAAGAATTGGCCTTTTTCTTTAGAGAAAACAAAAAAGAAGATACATCAATTCAGAATGTATGGGATACAATGAAGGCATATGTTAGAGGCTTGATAATAGACTATACAAGGAAAAAGAATACTATGAAAAGGCTAGCCTCTAAGGCCTTAGAGGGTGTGCATAAAAGACTTGAAAAAGAGCTACAGAAAATGCCACAGAAAAAGGACATCAAGCTAAAAATGGATATAATTAAACATAAAATGGGTCAAATAGAAAAAGAAGAATTAGCACAGAAAATTAGAGGTGATAAACAGAACTACTTTGAAGATGCAAACAAACCAGGTAGATGGTTAGCATACAAATTGAGAAAGGAGAAAGAATCAAGGAAAATATTGCAATTAATAGATGACCAAGGCCAAGTTTGCTATGGTAGTAAAGAGAAGAAGGAAATCATTCAAGACTTCTATGGGAAATTATATATGCAAGAGAATATTGATGAAGAAAGAGTTAAGCAGTACTTACAGAATGCTAATTTACCTCAGATACCTAAAGAGACTGAAAAAATGTTAGAAAGCAACATAACAATGATGGAACTAAAGTAATTACCTTATGTTTCATTTTTCTTTCTGCAAACCTTAGCCAATTAAAGAATTTTTGGAATGTTTCTGTTTTGTTTTTCTTTAAATAGCAGAAACCGTACCATAAGTAATGATCCATTATACTCAAAACATAGCAGGCACCTCCCAAACTGGGTTCTTAGGACCAATTATGTCAGCAAACACAATCTCTAAAGGTTCCTTGGTCTTAAACCCATTTAGTCTGTTTGCAGGAGTAACCTTGCTTTTTTTCTGGTTACAGGCATTACAGTTTAAATACTTGCTACAGGGTTTTAATTTTACTCCCTCTGACAATTCAACAGTTTGTTTGAGCATTTTGAAATTAATGTGCCCCAGATGTCTATGCAGTAAATGTACACATTCATCGTGTGGCTTAACATTGTTATAAACCGAGTTAGCCATCTGCAACTGGTCATCATGTATCACATATAAATCATTCTCTAAAGTAGCAGTAACACTTTTACCCTCTTTCTCTATTATACAGTTATCTCCCCTAAAGGTTACTACATAACAAATATTAAATAAAGCCCTTACTGATAATAAATTATATTTCAGTTTAGGTACATACAACATAGGTAAATGCTCATTTACATATGAACAATATGCAGTACCTTCACCAGATGCTTTCATCTTCCATCCATTTGCCAATGATACATGTTGCTTCCTTGTGGACATCTTTACAAACCTCTCTCTATTTCTAGTAATGCAAAGCGATGCTCCACTATCAACTACCCACAAATCATGGTTTACAGTTGAATTGCTAGACATAGCTAAATTCACATTCTTCTTAGACTTCTGGTGATTACTAGTATTCTGTTGTTTGCCCTTCTTACAGAATCTAGCTATGTCCCCTAGCCCCACAAGAAAAACATTTCCTAACAGTATAGTCAATTGAAGACAAATCCTCTTCTTGTGGTTGTTTCTTCCTCAGTTGGTCCCTATCCAGCCATCTTCTTTCCTCTTCTAACAACCTTCCAGTTATAGCAGTCAGTTTTCAGTCCAGAGATAATCCAAATAACAAAGTCCAGTATCATAAACAGTTCAGTAATCAGACTCACATTAATCCAAGAAGAACGACAATCAGCAACAGTCAATAGGTAAAAATGCAGGAACCAAAAACAGCGAACATCAGAACATCAACCAACTAGCAACAATAGAACAGTTCAACCCAGGTTTTTGGCTCCATCTTATGGCCGATTGAGGAACCATACCCAATTACAATTTTAGCATTCTCTTAAAGAGACAGTATTAAATGTCTATCCTGGTTTATATATTTCCAACCCAACTGTTAGGTGACTATCAATTCCTAACAGTGATCACCAGAGGTTGTGAGCCCAATGGATTGGGGCCAGTTGTAGGAGGCTTGGCTGTTGTTGGTGTGTTTGAGATGTGGGTTGTGGAGATAGGTGGCTGTAGTTTCTTTTCAAACCTGCAGTAAAACACATTCAGGTCATCTGCTAGTTGTTTATTCTCCTTCTGCCTGGGAAGGAGGTTTGCTGTAGCCAGTGATGTTTTTAAGAGTTTTCCACACGTTTGCTGGTTCATTTGTTGAGAACTGATTCCTTCACTTTTCAGAGTAGCTTCTTTTTGATGCTCTGATCTCTCTTGTTAATATGTTTCTGGCCTGGTTGTACAGCATTCTGTCACCTTTTCTTTGGAACGATGTAGCTGCTTAAGTTTAACTGTGAATCAAGGTTTATTGTTACTATATATTTGCAGGTTCCTTGTTGGTACACATAGGTCTTTGCAGAAGCTAACATATGATGTTACAGGATCTGTACATAATCTATACATAAGAATTTGATATAATAACTGTCAAGGCAAAATAGCACCATTTTAAGCAGATTTAATTTTAAACAGATTTAAGAGGTTAAAATTTAAGATTTTAAAATACTATATTCCAGGGCTTTTAACTTTTAAACTTATGAGTATAATTATATATTGATTAATTGTCCTTACTGTTAGGAAGTTTCTCCTTAATTCCAGGTTGCTTCTCTCCTTGATTAGTTTCCATTCATTGTTTCTTTTCCTACAATATTCTGGAATTTTCCATCCAATTACTAATTGGGACAATCCTTTTTCACTTGTGGAAACAGAAAAAAATAGGCATGTTGTGCTATTTCTGGAAGAATTTTCCCCAGTATTGTGAGTTTCTTTCATTTTAACATGTATCAATATGGCACTTATCAGTTTACAGGTAAGTTGTACAAGTAATAATAAATGCAGCCTAGTTTTACAAATGACCTTGCGATTGGAGTATATAAAGGTTTTTTTTTTATCCAGAAATACACTTGAGGTTTGATATTTTCTTGTACGTTTTCCTTATATTTAGCACTTTAGCCAAAGCAATTTTGATGTCTCTATTTCTCATACTATAGATTATAGGGTTCAAAAAAGGTGGGATAATGCAATATAATAAAGTTGAGATGAAGTCCAATGAAGTGGAGGAAGTCTTCAAATAAGCAAAGAATCCGGAGAATAAGAATATGGAAACCACAATAACATGGGGTAGGCAAGTAGAAACTGCCTTTTTCCTTCCTTCCAATGAGTGAATTTTCAGCACAGCAGTGAAAATGCATACATAAGTATAAAGAATAAAGAAAAAACAAACAGATCCTAAAGCAGACATGACCATAAGTACTTTGATTTCATTTTTGTTTAACCCTGTACAACTGAGTTTAAGGAGCTTTGGAATTTCACAGAAGAACTGATTGATGATGTTGGAACAAAAAGGGGTTCCAAAGACAAAAGAGGCATTCAACAATCCGTTAAAAAGGCTGCTGATCCAAACTGCAAAAATCATATAAATACAAGCTTGCTTGTTCATTATTTTTTCATATTGTAATGGATTGCAAATAGCAATATAGCGATCATATGCCATGACAGTGAGGAGCCACAAATCAGATCCCAGAAAGAAGACCAAAAAGAAAACTTGACAAATGCATCCAAAATAAGAAATGTGTCTTGTATTCATGAGAATATTGGCCATGGATTTAGGCAGAATGACTGAAATGGCCAGAAGGTCTTGTATGGCCAAGTTCAGCAGGAAGAAGTACATAGGTGTATGCAGTTGATGGTTGAAAATTATTGCGAATATGATGAGGAAGTTTCCTGTTAGAATTGCAAAATATATCACTAGAAAAACAAAGAAATAAAGTAGCTGCTGTTCTTGTACTTCTGAGAATTCCATGAGCAGAAAGTAATAGTTTGTGGATTGGTTATGCATTTTCCTCTCAAGATGTTTGTAGTAACTGACAAAAACAGAAAGACAGCTATTTTAAAAGAAGTCTGTTTCAAAATCATTCATATAATTCATCTGGAATAAGAGATCTGATTCAGCATGGGGATAAGGATTTCATTCATTCATTCAATATTAATAACTGCCATATAAATCAGCAGTTAAAATATACATAGCAATCAAATAATTGGCTGATTAACAACACATTCAGCATCCTAGTCTTGGCTATCAATTCAGCAATCTAATTAGATATTTTACCTATTTACTACCATTCTAAAGATTCTAGAAGTTTTGCTAGATTGGTAGTTTTTTTTAAATGAGACATTATTATCTACAAGTCTTCAGATAAAATCAGTTCTTACTACTATACTGCTATTCTCCTTTCCTATACTGCTATTCTCCTTTTCAATATTTACTGAAACAATTTTTATTAACTTTCTTTAAGAATAATGGTTGCAAGAACATCTAGTTTAATGAAAAAAAAGACTGCGGTGATATGATATCAGTGTTCCAATATCTAAGGGGCTGCCACAAAGAAGTATCAATCTATATTCCAGAGCACCTAAAGGCAAGACAAGAAGCAAAGGATAGAACCACCTGAGGACAGGAGAGAAGCAGCCTAGAACTAAGGAGAAATTTCCTGACAGTAAGAACAATTAATTAGTGGAATGACTTGCGTCCAAAAATTGGGGATGCTTCATCACTGGAGATTTTTAAAAAGGAATTGGACAATTATTTTTCTGAAATGGTATAGGGTCTCCTGCTTGAGCAGAGGGTTGGATTAGAAAGCCTCCAAGGTCCCTTCCAATGCTGTAATTCTGTTATAATTCCAAATATATTCACTAGTGAATGATCATAACTGAATCTTTTTAATGAAAAAATCAAAACTATTCTGAAAAACACCAACTGTCAGTTCCAATAATTATTGAAATATAAATATGGAATAATTATTAAACATTTGGAGTTAGAAAGATAAAATCTAAGTTATTTTCCATCAATATATTCTAAGTTGCAATTCTTTAAAATCATTTCTTCATTTCTTTTGGAGGAAATCATGCTGGTGCTCTTAATTTTCTCAAGACTGAAATAACACATTGCATCAATAAAAAGAAGCTCATTCTTTTTGAAAGGACAGAAATAGAAATCACTATATAAATAGATTTAAAAATAATCTCTTTTTGATTAATGCAATCTTCTAAAAAAAGAAAGCATTACATATAAGGAAAGTAGATGAATAAAGTTAAAAAGGCTTACCATACTTCCTGGTTTAGAGAACAAAAAGAACAGAGAATTCTCATGAATTTGATTGAAAATTTATTCTAAGAGCTAATTATAAATAAACTAAGAGTTATTATCAATTGGATTAACTACACATTGCCTATCAACATGCCAGTAACTAGAGGTCAAAATTGTACCCAATGTTCTGTTATGATGGTAAATTAACAATATGATTCCAGAAGGCTATTAGCTTCTCATCCATCCTTTGAGCTTCTTAAGAGGAACTTGGGTACTTTAATATTACTATGAATTTTTCTGAAATAAACGCTAGTATTAATCATGTCTCTAGAATCAATTACCTTTCACACATATTTCCAGTATAATCAGGTTTTGATTACGAAAGTCTCATAGTAAAATAATGAATAAATATAAGAAAAACCCCATATCAGTTTGAGGACTAATATCATTTTTAAAACCATATCAAAATTTCTTATATTTTTTGGACAAATGCCATATTCTGAGATAAAATATAGATATCCTTGTAAGTGCATTTAAACAAAAGAACAATGGACTTATATTTTAAAATTGATCCCATGCGATAATTTAATTTCTCTTTTACAATACTTTATTTTACCATCTTCATTCTCTGACTTTAAGCACTTTGTAAGGGCTGATATTCAACATCATTAAATTATGACAATTTGTACTTGAATAATGATGTTAATAAAACAGGCAGAAATGAGAAAAATTCACTGAAATGATCCACAGTTCTCTCTACCTGCCCAAGTAGTTAGAGTATAAAGTGATATAATGAAATTACTATGCATATAAGCAGCTAACATTAAAGTTGAAATTTTCTTTGAAAAAAAGAGAGAGAAATAGTTTTATCACTCACAAATGTTGGCAAGCAGAAATATGTTACAATCTAAAACTAAACCCTACCCTTTTAGTTTTCAACATTGAATGTTCACCCATTCACGCCTGATTGTTTCTGAAATCTTACAGAAAACAAAAGGTTTATAAAGAAATAGAAAGGAATTTATTGACATGTATTCTCCCCCCCCCCCCCCCCCCCCCAGTGATTTCTGGTTGCTCCTCCCAAATCAGTTCCAGAAGTCAATGCAACTAAAATAGACAGAGAAAGAAACTTGTTAATTGTCTCTTATAAACCGAAGAGCTATTTTCTGAAAATATAACAGCTCTGGCATTTCTCCCCTGTTTTCAGAATGCTCATGTTTCAATTCAAATTGCCTTTGATCAGATAAACAGTAAACTGTCATAAGTGAGTTTTGCTATTGTGATAATTGGCTGTAGAAAAATCCATTATGCCAGTGGTGGGTTTCAAATTTTTTGATTCCACTTCTGTGGGCATAGTTAGGTGGGTGTGGCTAGGTGGTCATGACCAGTTGGTCATGTGACTGGGTGGGCGTGGCTAGGTGGTCAAGTGATTGCGGGGGGGTCAAAAATCTTTTTTTTTCTTTTTTTCTTTCACAGCACCACCCCACACCCCGTTTTTGGCCTACTGGGTCTCAGGGAAGCCTCCTGGGTGCTGAAAAAAGAAGCATTTTGAAGCCTTTTGAGGTAAATATAACATCGAGGGTGGGGGAAAACAGCTGTGCCGCATGATTTAGAATGGTATTTAGAACACCATTTTTTGCTACCTGTTGTGGACCGTCGGAGATACGAGGCAGACACAGAGTGATCGGTTAGAAGCTTTATTCAATGAATAAAGGGTTGCTGTGGCTGCCAAGGCTAACAAGGCAGATCAGCTGGCGGCAACCGCTGATGCCGTTTGACAGCTCCTTTTATAGCCGGCTGTCAAATGGCATCAGCCAATGGGAGCGATCGGCGCTCCCGCCAGAACTGCGGACCTGAGTGGGGACTGCCGTCAGTTCTGTGAATACCACACTCCTTTCCCCTGGCCAGGAGCATGTGTAGTCCTGTAAATAGGCTGGTTGCCTGCGCTGGCGGCTGGACCGCCTTAGTCCCGGAGAGTCTCTGGTTTGGGAAGAGTCCTTTGCCCCTTGGATCGCCCTGGAAGTTGCAGGAGTGCGAGTTCGATCTACAGGAGCCTTAGCTCGAGTGCCCAGCGGTGGTCCAGGTAGGTTTCTTCGCTCGGCTTGCTTCGGGTGTGTTTTCCGGCTGGAACGGTAGACCGGGTCATTTGGTCAGGAGTCCATAGCGTTTCCTGGGTAGACCGGGTCGTCTGGTTGGGAACCTTTGGCATTGGCTGGGTAGACCGGACCCTCGGTGTTCGCTGGGTAAACCAGGTCCTCGGTGTTTGCTGGGTAGACCGGACCCTCGGCGTTCCCTGGGTAGATCAGTTCCTCAATGTTTGACGGGTAGACCGGTCTCTTTGCGTTTGATGGGTAGACCAGTTCGCCTGGCTGGGGACCGTTGTCGCTCGCTGGGTAGACCGGGTCGCTTGGCTGGATGCGGGAGTCATCAGTAGTCCTTCTCCAACGCCTCCTCAGCTGGTCTACGTGTCTGCGCCACATACGACCATCATCCAGGAGGACCCTGTAGGATCTTGGCCCTGTAACTGATATAACCTGTCCTGGTACCCATAATGGGTCCCCTGCATAATTCCTGGCATAGACCAGGTCATGCAGGGCAAATTCCCTGGCAAGGCTATCAGAACCCAAGGGGGTGCCAGGGGTGTAATGGGGGTGCAATCTATCCAAGGTGGTCCTAAGGTGCCTGCCCATTAGCAATTCTGCAGGTGATTTGTTAGTTGTGGTACAGGGGGTTGTATGCTGGGTCAGAAGGTATCTGGACAGTTTGGAATGCCAGTCTATCTGGCCAAACCTTGCCAATGCTTCTTTTACTGACCTAACTGCCCTCTCAGCCATCCCGTTGCTCGCAGGGTGAAAAGGGGCTGTGAGGACGTGCCTGATCCCCAGATTGGCTGTGAAAACCCTGAACTCACAAGAGGTGAACTGGGGGCCATTGTCGGATACCAGTGTGTCAGGGAGGCCATGGGTGACAAATACTCTGGTCAGGGCTTTTGTGATGGCCAGTGTGGTTGTGGAAGGAAGTAGAGCCAAGTCAATCCATTTAGAGAAAGAGTCCACTAGGACTAGGAAAGTCTGCCCATGTACTGGGCCTGCCAGGTCGATGTGTAGCCGAGACCAAGGGGCTCCAGCATCCTCCCACCGGGTAGGTGTGGCTGCAGGTGGGGCTGGTCTGGTAGCTTGGCATGGCTGGCACGAGCTTACCCAGCTGGAGATCTGGGCATCCATGCCTGGCCACCATACATAGCTGCGTGCCAGGGCCTTCATCCTTACGATGCCTGGGTGGCCATCGTGTAGGACCTTTAAGACTGGCTCTTGTAGTGTGGCAGGGATGACCACCCTTGTCCCTCACAACAAACAACCCTGCAGGGATGACAACTCTTGTCTGCGAATCTTGAATGGCAAAAATTCAGGAGTGTAATGAATTGCAGGCCACCCCCTTCCCACCCAGTCCAGGACTTGGGCAATTACCTTGTCCCTTTTGGAGTGAGTGGCAATGTCCTCGGCTGTAATAGGCAAGTTGAGTTCGTTGGCCTCAAAAATAGCATGTATGGGTGCGGGGTCTTCAACTGGAACTGGTAGGGGGCAGCGACTAAGGGCATCTGCGTGGCACATGTTCTTCCCCGGGTGATGCACTAGTTTGTATGAATAGGCGGCCAGGAACAGAGTCCACCTGGTCATCCTTGGTGATAGGACCTGTGGGGTTTGCTTGTCCCCTGACAAAAGGCCTAAAAGTGGTTTATGGTCTGTTATAAGTTC